GCTTGGTATCATCAATCTTGAATACAGAAGTCACAAGTAAACAAAATTAATTAATTCTCAGTCCTCCACATAATGCCCCCATGCAAATTTGGCTCCCTTCCTTGATGTCCACCACCCATGGAGCCATTCAGTGCTGGCTACTTTGGAAGTGGACAATGGTAATGGGTAGCATGAAACATTGAGAATGTATTTAATGACAATTATATGCTTAATATGGCAAATTGTATATTTTTTATATTTTACCAAAACATAAAATTTTAATAAGGTAACATATCCCAAACTGACTATTATTGCTATTGCCAGGCCTTCCAGGAAAGAGTGAGGAAGTGTCCAGAAGTTTCTAAGCAGTGCCAGGGAAGCCCCCTCTCCACCGGGGTCCCCAGAGCTCTTCAATAAAAGATCTGTTTTTCAACAAGCATTGCACTTTATAATCTGGAGACAGCTTGTGTACCTATGTCTCCTAGTATCCTATATAAGGTCAGTTCCTTCTACCCTCAAACACTCTCCTGTGAACCAGGCCAAGAAGCAGATTCTAAGACATCCTACTTATGCCCCATCTTTCTCTGCAACAATTCAAACTAGAAAATGCTGTTCTGTGAAAGATACAGCTAAGAGAATTAAAAGACCAGCAACACACTAAGAGAAATATGTACAAAACACATATCCAATAAAAAGCTTCCATCCAAAATGTGCAAAGAACTCTTTTAAATGAAAGATTTTATTGAGATATAATGTATGGACCATATAATTCTCCCATTTCAGGTTGTATAACTCAATAGTTTAGAGTAAATTACATTATCAACTTTTCAAAGTTTTGTTAAAATATATAAAACAAAATTTGCAATTTTAACCATTTTTAAGTATAATCAAATATTGCTACATGCATTCACAATGTTGGATAGCTATAAATACCATCCATCCAAAGCTTTTTCTTACCTTAAACAGATACTCTGTAACTATTAAGCAATAACGTTTTATTCCCTCTCCCTTCAGCTCCTGGTAACCTCTTATTTACTTTTCTATGAATTTGCTTAGTGTAGCTATCTCATGTAAGTGGAATTATACAGTATTTGTCTTTTGTGTCTTGCTTATATCATTTAGCATAAAACATTCAATGTTCATCCATGTGGTAACATGTATCAGAATTTTATTCTTTTTTGTGGCTGAATAAATTTTTAGTGCATGCTTATACATTTTGTTCATCTATTCATTTGTCAATAGACACTGGGTCAATTCTACCCTTTGGCTTTGTTGCTAGTGCTTTTGGTATGAATAATGTTGCAGTGCTCATTGGCATACATGTTTCTGTTCAAGTCCCTGCTTCCACTCCTTGGGTATATACTGAGGAGTGGAATTGATGGGTTTACATTAGTTCTATGTCTATCTTTCTGAAGCACAAACAAATTATTTTCTATAGAGACTGCAACATTTTTCATTCCTACTATCAATATATGAGGTTTTCAATTTCTCCACATCTTCACCAACACTTGTTAGCTGGTTGTGTGTGTGTGTGTGTGTGTGTGTTTAAATCATAGCCAACCTAGTAGGACCAGTGTTCCAATAAACTATCAAGGTCATCAAAAATTAGGAAAATCTGAGATACTGTCAAAGACTAAGAAAAGGTGATAACTAAAAGTAGTGTGGTCTCCTGGGTGAGATCCTAGAACAACAATTTAAAAAAATGTAAAATGATATCTCATTGTCATTTTGATTTGTATTTCCCTACTAATAATGTTGAACATTTTTTCATATGCTATTGGCCATTTTTATATTTTGTTTAGAGAAATGTCTATTTAAGATTTACTCATGTTGGATTGGGTTGTATTTCTTTCTGTTGTGTTATATAAGTTCTTATATACTCCGGATGTTAAAACACTATCAGATTTACAATTTTCAAATATTTTTCCCATTCTTTGTATTATCTGTTTACTTTCTTGATGGTGTCCTTTGGTGCACAGAAGTTTTTCATTTTGACACCAAATTTATCTAATTTTTCTTTGTTGCTAGTGCTTTTGGTGTTATATCTAAGAATCGATTACTAAATCTAAGTTCATGAAGATGTACACCTGTGGTTTTTCTTAGAGTTTTGGTTTTCAATCTTCTGTTTCTGTAATTGCCTGTTTTTAGTTAATATCTGTGTAAAAAGCAAGTTGGGCTTCAATTTTATTCCATTGTACATGAAAATTCAGTGGTCTCTGCACTATGTTTTAAAAAGTCTCTTCGTGCCTCACTGAATGGACTTGATATCCTTGTCAAAAATCAATTTACCATTGATCTGTATGTCTGTTCTCAAATCAATACATACTGTTTTGATTACTTTGGCTTTGTAGTAAGTTTAAAAATCTTTTTTAAACTTGTTTTGGCTATTTAGGGCTGCTTACTCTTCTGTATGAATTTCAGAATCAGCTTTTCTATTCTGCAAAAAAAAAAAAAAAGACCATGAGAATCTGAATAATGATTGTATGAAAACCGTAGATTAAAGAACTCTTAAAATTCAACTACATAGAAAAAACCAAATTTTAAAATGAGCAAAATAACTGAACAGATATCTCACAAAAAAATATAGATAGGAAGTCAGCATGTGAAAAGATGCTTAATATCATATGTTGATAGGGAATTGAAAATTGAAGCAATAATGACATATCACTACCTACCTATCAGAATGACTAAAATTTTTACAAAACAAAATGACAAGTTCCTGGAGAAGATGTGGAGCAGTCAAAATTCTTTTACTGCTGGTAGAAATGAAAAATGGTGAACATTACCTTAGAAAAGAGTTTCATATAAAATTAAAAACATCACCTTACCATATGATCTAGCAATCACAATCTTATGTATTACCCAATTGATTTCAAACTATGACCACACAAAAACATGCACAGAATATTTATAACAGCTTTATTTGTAATCACCCCAAACTGGAAACAACCAAGATGTCCTTCAATGATGTAAATAGAGAAACAAATTATGGTACAAACATAAAATGGAATATTATTCAATGATTAAAAATAGAAATGAGTTGTCAGGTCATGAAAATACATGAATGAACATTGAGTGCTTATTTCCAAGTGAAAGAAGTAAGTCTGAAAAAGCTACATATTCTATTATTCTATGACATTTTTAAAAGGACAAAACTGTACATATAGAAAAGATCAGTAATTGCCAGAGATTTAGAGGAGGAAAGAAGGAACAATAAGTACAGCCTATGGAATTTTTGTGCACTGAAATGATTTTGCATGATACTCTAGTGGTGGATGCACAAATTATATATTTATCAGAAACCACACAATTTTACAGCACAATGCCTTAATGTATTTGTTTTTAAAAATCTTTTAATAGGTTGGGGGATCCAAGGAATGTATGCAAACTATATGACAAGAAAATTGTCATGCCTGTGTTATAAATGTACATGACAATCTCAGTAAAGTGGTTGGAAGGAAAAAGTAACTTGGGAAACAGTGGGGTTTGTAAGACTGATGGCAAAAGAAACTGTACCTAAGTCCTCCAGTTTACAAAGTTGCTTCCATGGTGGCACAGTTAACAGTTTTGACACTATCCTGGTGTGTATACTGGAACTGAGCAATTGTTTAAATAGATGGCAGATGTTGGGAGTCAGGCTTCTTGCTGTTGGAGTAAGAATTTACAGATCAGGCCAGATTTGAGCCATGTGGTCATGTATTAGAGTTGGAGACATTAGTATGAACTGATTGAAACTTATTGTAGGTTCAGATAGTTGAATACAAAAACATCTACAGATATGTGTTTATGCCCAGGTTTGAACAGACACAAGTATATCACCTTGTTCTCTCTGTCAAGAGAGAAAAGAAAATGAAACCCAGAGTAAGGAGCATAGTGCTAAATGCAATGCCAAGATTTGGGTTACCAATACCATGCCACAAGAAGAATCAGGTCTTCTTGAAAAAATGGCTGAAGGGACAAGTCCAGGCAATACATCAAATGAATCTGGAGCATCTTTTAGTGCCAGAAAGTAAGGAATCATTCAAAAAAAAATAATAATACATTATGGGAAATGTCAAAGGGACACAGAAGCCAAGTGAAAAGCCTCCCATTGGCCCAAGCTGAAACAGTCTAAGCATCAAAATAAATAAAGCAGTATTGAATTATAACCCAAAGTATAAAATAAATACTCATGAGTCTATTCTAATATAAATAAATGGTGACAGAGACAAATTTCCTTTGCAGCATAATCCCAAAACAGTGGTAACCTTTCAGTAGAGAAATCCAACAAAGCACTAACGTGGCCAGCTGGTGAAGACTCAAATCAACAGGGATAAATCATGTCTATTGTGTGTGCCCTTGACCTGATGTCACAAATATGGCACTTTACCTCTGTGATCTTCCCCTGAAAAACCCACATCTCCATTGTAATCATGAGAAAATCATAAGACAAATTCCCATACAGGGCATGGTACAAAACACCTGACCAGTGTTCCTCTAAACTACCAAGGTCACCAAAGATAAGGAAAATCTGAGATACTGTCAGAGATGAAGAAAAGGTGATCAACTAAAAGCAGTGTGGTTTCCTGGGTGAGATCCTAGAACAACAAAAAATAAATAAATAAAACAAAGACAACATTAGGTTAAAAACTAAGGAATAAACTATGGGCTTTAGTTATAATAATGGTTCACTATTGGTTTGTTAATTCTAATGAATGTATCACACAAATGTTAAGAAGTTAGTAATTGGAAAACTGGGTAAGGAGGGTATTTGCAAACTCCGTTCCATCTTCCCAGTTTTTCTGTAAATCTAAAACTTCTAAAAAGCAAATTTTAAACAAATCAAAAACCTGATGATGTAGGTATTTTTGTCATTTGTCTAGTGAGGGAACCTCAAAGTAACTGGTGCAAGATTGCCCCCTACTTCAAGGGCAGAGGTACAATTTGAGTACAGGGCCCTTTCTACTAAATCTCACTGACTTTAGACTCTCTGTTCTCGGCTTCCTGCACACCTATTTATCTATGTGTGTGTTTCTTCCCAGGGGATGGCCTTTACACTTGAAGAAAGGCTGCAGCTAGGAATCCATGGCCTGATTCCCCCCTGCTTCCTGAGCCAGGACGTCCAGCTCCTCCGGATCATGAGATACTACGAGAAGCAGCAGAGTGACCTGGACAAGTGAGTGCCTGGAGTCTGTCTCTCTACCTGATTATCGGGCTGAGCTGCTGTTTGCATATTCTCCAGCTAGCAAAGGCTGAGAACTCTGAGAGACCCCAGACCCAGCCTGTCATTAGAGTGATGGTGTCCCCGAGAGAGAATTATAATGTCAGAGTCATAGCCAACATGTTCTTGGAAAACAGAGAAGGGAACATGAACTCAACCAGTGGTACCCGGGAGGTCTTTTGGGAAGGCAGGAGAGGAGTCAGCCAAGAAGCACAAAGACTTCAGCAAACAGCAGTGGGGTTCAGTAAGGGCATTTCACTGAGAAGGAAGAAATGAGGTGAAGATGTATAAAGAGGCATGTTAGGAAGTGGTACTTGCAGTATGGTTCCTGGAATAAAGGGAATGTGGTGGGGGATAAGGCATATGGACAGGGACACCTTGTCCTGTGTTGGCAGTTGGATAGGCAGCAGTCAATAACCCTGCCTCCTCTCTGAATCTCCATCAGTAGAAAGGTAGACACACAGACCCCACATGGGAGACCCTGGGTCAGTTTAGCAGCTTTACTAAAGAAAGTAGTCACCTCTCAGGTCACGTGGCTACAAATTGGCACAGCCAGGATTTGTACACAGATGATTGAATCCAGAGTCTATACTTTAAACTTCTCTGTTATGCCCCAACTAAGAACAGCAGAACCTAATGGCTATAAAACTAGACTCTAGTTCTAAACTGAGTTCAAATCCACATTCCACCGCTTAATAACAAGTTACCTCACCTCTCTGGGTCATTCTCCATCTATACAATGAATATGTCAAAGGTACCTAACTCTTAGGGCTTAAATGAAGCTAAAATGTGTTAGTCTTTATGAAGTGCTTGGGGTAGTGCCTGACACATAGTAACTACTGTGTAAGAGTTTGTTAAATGCATGTGTCACATTGCTATGGGGTCTAGAAGAAATGTTGGAAGAAGACAAAATTTCCCTCTATGTCCTTAGAGCTAAATGACCAAGACTTTGGATCAGGTGGTATTGCCACCCTCAAGAGCAGAGGTCAGCAGCACCTCACAGTCATCCTACACCTATCTCCCTATGTTTTCCACATATCAACCATAGCTTCTGAGAGGTAGTGAACAAGCAAGCCTCAGCTCACCCCCACGCCCAAAGTACTAGATTCTAAGGATTTTACTCACATTAACTCTAAAGCCCTACTGCAACCCAGGTCAAATATTCTCTCCTTCTTGATCATTCCACTCAGTAGCCATGTCACCTGGAAAAGCAAACCAAAAATTATATAACAAATTCAACTAATAACATGAAACATACCCCAACTTTGAACAATCTGAGCCTCCCCCTCTTCTGTTAAATTCATAAAAATTAAAATAAGTCCAAAGTGAGATTTTCTTTATTAAAGATATTGAACTTTAAAAATTAAACTCCCCAAGTCCTTCCCTCCATGGTTCTTTCCAGCTAGATAGGTCTCACTCATTTGCCAGGAAGGCACTGGAGGCTCAAGGAGAAATGGGAGTGCCCACCCCTGCGAGCTCTAGAAGGCTCACTCTGAATGCTGTGCTAACTATTTGACCCACTCATTCCCAGGACTCCCTCATTTCAGTAGGTACTTCAAAAAATGCCAAGAAAGCTTCTCAGCTTCCTTTGGGTAAGGGCAGTGTGGGCTGGTAAATGTTCAATAACTGGCTGTCTTTGGGAGTGAGAGGAGCGGAATGTAGAATTGAGAAGAGATGTGCCTAGATGGCTACTGGGTATGGGAATCCTCTACACTGGCAATGAGTTGAGATCCTGGCCATCCCTACTGTAAGTCTTCCCTTCCTAAAAACATTGTCCAAAATGCAGAGTTCAGTGTCTTTCATGAAGAAGAAGGTGCTGAGGCTCCAGGAAGTCACAAGACTTCCTCAAAGTCACACAGCTAGTAAGTGGCAGAGCTAGAAGTCAAACCCAGAGTGCCAATGCCATGTCCAGGGTTCATTCCCCTACAGCCCAGGTCTCTTCCCCTACCAGGGCATCTCCCTCAGCCCACTCCATGCAAGGGCCTCCAGTGCCCCCACCCTCTCTCCCAAGTGGTTGTCCAGAAAGACCGATTCAGCAGCCAGACCTCAATGTGAACCTCAACCCCTGAGTTTTCTCTCCCAGGGGTTTTTGCATTTTTAGGAGTATGAGTGAAAGGCTCTTTTCCTAGCTTAGTGATTTCAGGCTTCTGGGAACAGGTAAAAGAAAGATTATTTTCATATTATTCCTCTTGAGATGACTTGCTACTGAGCTGTTTGTGCACTCTGCTCAGGACAGAAAATAGCCATAGGTGGTAGGAAAGGACAGTTTGTATGGCACTCCTGCCTAGTACTTCACTGGGCCTACTTGACCTCCAGAGTATTTTTGTTCTATTTTCATTCATCAATGTCCATATAGTAATATCACTATCTCATACATTGTTTGAGGGCACATACTCTGGCATCAGACTGCTTTGGTTCAAATCCCTACTGTGCCATGAAATCTTGGGTAAGTTAATTTCTCTGTCCATTAGACTCTTTATCTCTAAAATAACATGAATTATAGTACCAATCTCACAAGTCACTGGAAGCTTTAATGAAACCTATTTTGGACAGTACCTACACTGCGTATAGTGATAAAAAAAACTGAAGGCAGCTCATATTCTCCACATTTCTTAGAGGTCAATTCCCAGACTTAGGGGAGACGGATAATTTGTCCCTGAATGTCCCACGGCAGCTGAGCCAGACCCAAACCCTAGCTTCACACCAACCCAAGTGGCCTCAGCCCTTTCCATAGCAGCAGTATCAAGGGCCTGCGTTAATCCTGAGCTCAGCTTGCTGCTTCTCTCCCTTTACAAGGTACATCATTCTCATGACGCTCCAAGACCGGAATGAGAAGTTGTTCTACCGAGTGCTGACGTCTGACGTGGAGAAGTTCATGCCGATCGTATACACACCTACCGTGGGGCTGGCCTGTCAGCACTATGGCCTGACGTTCCGCCGGCCACGGTGAGCGGATCTGGGGGGTCATTCCACAGAGGGCAATAATGACATGTTATTAGGCAAAAATATTGGCATTGCATTTCCTTCCAGAACTAAAGAATTTGGGGATGGTTTTCTAAAGATGTCACTTTTTTGTCGTATTGAGTTCATTTATTTATATATATATACACACACACACACATATATATAATTTTTAATAGGAAAAGTGGGAAGATTTTCCAAAGAGCCCTCAGTGCCAAGTGCCTGATATAGAAATACACAGTTCTAGCACTAATGATTAGTGGTTATTAGTGTTATATATAATGGAATATTACCAGAGAATATTATTACTGTGTTAGGATATGTAAACATACAGTGTACCATGTATAGATGTGTAATTTACATTTATATAGAATTTCTAAATCAGGGTTTACAGTTGATGTGTTCTAGGGAGAGCAGGTAATCATGGGTCTATGACAGCTTTTTAAATTTGTGCTGTCATGAAAGGTGAATGCAAAGAATTGAGTCAAAAAAGCATTTGTCTACAGTGATCCAAGCATACCCACAGATTCTGACTAGAATGCATGGGCTCTGGGATTCTGTAGTGGTGAAACAGGAGAGTAGAGGAACTGAGTAGAATTGACAAGGGATTCTGCCCAATAGTGAGAGTCCTTTGTCTCCTTCACACTACCAAGGGGGTTGGACTAATAGGGGACTGCTTCATACTGGTTCAAGCTTCACTCAAGGTCCTCCAAAAGGTCAACCACAGACATTGGTGTGGCAGCAGTGAGGGGTTCCATGCAGGTGCAAACCGGCCTCTGCCAATCACTTGCTCCCAGAGAACCAAGTTATCCTTCAGTGGAGGTAGACAAGTGTATTGCAGAAGCTAGAAGCACAGCATAGGAAATGAGTATGAAATTGACCAAGCAGGGAGCTTATAAATGAACCAGAACCAGGAGAAAATCATAACTATCAAGGCCAACTACAATCCTAAAATCTTTACATATCTTATTTAATTATCACAGTCCCCCCTGTAGGTAGGCACTTTCCTATTTACAGATGAGGAAGCAGAGGACAGAGAAGTAAGTTGCTCAAAGTCACACAGCTCCTAACTCTCAAAGCCAGGACTCAACCACGCCGTTGGAACCTGAGTACATCAGGTGGACCCATAACCATCACAGTATTCTGCTTCATGGCTCAGGTCTGTGCACATTTGGTGGGCATTCAGGGTGGGTGCCATTGAGCTCCATGTATATTTGACTTCCCAGGAGTCTAAGGTAGAGATTACCAGGTACCATTTCCAAAGCCTTCCTGGGAGGAATTGATTCAGCCAGTCCTGGAGCATGCAGCTGGGTTAGCCTGAGGCCAGCTTGGGCAGACTGAACCATCTTCTTGGATTAGTCCCTCCCCTCTTGGTGCAGACTTCCCACATGTGTTATGCACAAACCCTTCTTCTGATGATTACCCAATTAAGTCATTTGACATTTGCCATTCTGAGCTGTTGCTCTAGGTTTCCATCTGGCTGCTTTCCAGGTGTTGATTTCACACCTGCCTTGTTCCTGGGGGAAATGAGCATTTGGCTCCACCCCAGCCCTGAGCTTCATCTGAGGCCTGGCTTAGAATGGCTTTATGGATTAGCATCTGAAGGGAGGACAGCCCTGAGGCCAAGAGGAAGAGAGCCAGGACTTCTCGGTTTCTGAAATGATAAAACATTCCTGCCAGGTTCCTGGGAACAATGGAATCCTCTGTGAAAGGGCCTGGCCCTCCACCAAAGCTAATTAAGTCCAGCTGATCCTAAAATTGAGTCTCCAACACACTTGGGCTCTGCCATCACCTCACAACCCGGAAGAAGATGCCAGAGTATCTCAGGGGCACCTGAGGGTCCTGGGCAACCAGACACAGGAGAAGCTTCTGGACTCTGTAGCCCCGCCCCCCTGTCTTATACTCCTCTCTCCTGGCCCATTCTTTCCATGTGCCTTTATAGGCCTGGCTTGCAAGAATGCCCTCTGAAGGTCACCAGCATGTGACTTAGAAATAATGAAAGCCAGCTGTGACAGAGGCCAGGACAGAATTCAACTCAGAAGAGGAGTATGGAGAGGAAGCTACATGGTATCCAGTGTCAGTGAATACTCTTCCTCCCAGGCCACCTCCTCTTGACCAGCATTGCCTTCACCTTCTTCATCTTCTTAGATTTCAAAGTGTACATATTTGTGGAACTTAAATTTCCAGTTCCAGTGTGAGATCTAATTTGTATGGGTCATAGCGGTGTTAAAGAAAAAGACTTTCAAGACACCTATTAAAGATGGTGAAGCAAACTGTATTCAAGGGGGCCATGGCCAGAGGTGTAGGGATGACTGCAACAGAGTGCAGTGGTTACAGAAGTGAAGAAGAAGACTGGCCTCAACTCCAACAAGGACGAGTAAGGTTCTATAACCAGTGAGCCTGATGGGAGTCAGAGAATGAAAAATTACTAAAAGAAGACATCAAGAATAAGGAATTCCTGGCTAAACTGTCTGATAGGATTATTGCTAAAGGCAAGCCAGGGTGATAAGTTTTCAAGGTGGTTAAATGCTAAGGGTGGGAAATTTTTGCTGAACTTAGTAAGAGTCTTTCACAAAGTGGGTACTTCAAGGACAGAAAGAGAAGCCTAGTCAAAAAGAGCTCATTAGCCTAACTAAAAGTTTGGTCAAAGCTAGGTTATGGTGTGAAAGGAGGTTGGACTTGGAAGTCAGGAAATCTTGACCTTGACTCCCAGCTCCTGATGGCATTACAATTAGCTAGTGCCCCCTCAGTTTCTTCATGTGTAAAATGGGAATGTTACCTATTCATGTGGCTTCTTGTGAAGATTTCATGAGATTCGATATGTCAAGGGCCTCGCCTTAGTAGATGTTCAGTGGCCATGAACTGTCTGACCCATATCCCCAGGATGGGGCATCTGACTAAAACACCCCACCCAAAAATGTAAACCATAAACCCACTGAGAGCATCTCAGTCCCCTGAAATATCACTGTCTTCTGTTTTGGGATTCAGACTTCAAATTATCTGTACTTGTGCTTAACTAGTAAATCCATTAGAAAGTCCTATGAGGAATTAGACAACAGACTGTAATGAGTTAAAGAGGTAAATGCCTGTGAATATACCCTATCAATTGCAAAGTTCCTCATAAATTTAAAGGGTGTTACTTTTTCATCTCTTCTTCCTCATCCTAATCCTCACAAAGTTGTATGGTTAAGGCACACATTCTCCTCCTTGTAGTTTCTTGCTTCCTGGTCAATACATCTGGTGAACCTCATTTTCTTGGAACATTTTTCTCTTCAGCCACTCTACCTCCACCACCCACAAAAATACACACCTACCAAAGGAACCCTGGTAAATGAATCATGTGCTTCTGCTTCCTAAGTATCCACTGGAGCCCATTTATAGTCACATACAGAAAAAAAAAAGTCTCTCAAATGATTTGGCTCTCAGCAAGCCAAATAATTGAGTCCCATTTCCAACTTCCCTCATGTCTCAGTGACAGGATTTGTAGAACAGGGGAGTCACGTCCTCCTCCCTCCCTAGGCTTCCTCCTGCAGCTCCTATCACCACTCTCCCAACTTGCACCCCCAGTTTCCTGGCTCTCCTGTGCCATTACCACTTTGTAATGGAAATAGCTGCCTACCCATCTGATGCCAACAACTGATGAGATAGAAGCAAACATCATACTCAAGGGTGAGCTATTTGTGCAAATATGTCGCTGGGGTGGCCTGCCTCTAAAAATGAACTGGCCAGTTGCAGTCCTTTTGGGGAACTTGTACTAAGACATGGAAAAAGCTACATAGAAAGAATTTTATAGTTGGGAAGGGAAACAAAGGCAGAAGAAGATGCTGTGGTTTACATTTTAGAGTCAAGTTATGGTGGACCAAAGGTAAATGCCAGTTATGAAGGAACAGAAAAAGAATAGGAAGTAAAGGAGTGAGCCTGTGGAGAGAACTGGCCAGATGAGAGGGAAGAGATGGAAGACAGAGGCAGAAACTGATTGGTCCCCAGAGTTGTGTTGGTTCATGACAGTTTTACACACTAATTCATGTTCACAAATTTACCATACACCCTCTTTCTCAAGAAGTAACTCAACCTCCAAATTGGGCATCTAGAAGAGCTAAATTGAAAAAGACCTGTGAAATCAGCTGGATCTGATTAGTTCCTAATCCGCTTGTTAATAGGTTGTATAAAGCTAACACATTAAAGTAAAGCATCAGGGAATCATGGAGTACTTGCTAAAATACAGAGTCAGCAAGGCTGGGAAGATGCCTGGAAACTTCATACCTAACAATATCCAGATGATACTGATGTTGCTGGTGCAAGAACCACCCTTTGAGAAACCCTAGATTAAAGTAGTTTGCCGAAGTCTGGCTTGGCACAAATCAGGAGCCACTTGTCAAAAAGAAACTAACTTTATTTTTAGAACTACAAACACCAAACAAAACAGCTCCAGGGAAAAACCCTCAGAGCCCAACTGCCACCACCGGCTTCCACAAGCCTCTCTCCCCCACACCAGCCTTTCAACCTCCCACAATCCTCCTCCTCTAGAGGCCGATTGGCTGGGTTGCGTGGGCAGAGCCAAAGAAGTCACCCAATGAGCAGCTCCGTGGAGGAGCCAATCAGCTAGATGTTGCTGGGGCAGCTG